TTTAATGATAAGTAAAGGACTTAAAAGAGATCCTTCATATTGCTTGATTAATTTTAAAAACTAAGTTATAAATGCAGACGCGATCAGTGCCTGTGACTCCTCTGGAGTAACAAATGAACCAGCTCACCCCTACAAAAGTGTCTGTTCAAAAACAAGCATTAAGTACAATAATTATTCTAAGTGAATCCATTAAATATATAATGTAAATATTAAATAATATTAATAGTTTTAAGTTTAAAAAATAACTAACTTTAAGTATTAAACTTTCAGTGTCCTATTATGATGCCATTAGAAATAATACATGCAACAAAAGTTTTGTGCTGTATCCCTTGGGCCTGTTCCCTCTAGCATTTTGTCTCTCCAGGTTTATCAGAGCCACAGCTACAGTTCTGCCCTCAGTGGCCTCTGAGGTCACTGTGAAGAGCTGCTATTAAACGCAGCTGAGATTCTAGGATGAGTTTTTTGTCCAGGAGGTGTGTGCTGTGCTGGAAGAGCACAGTGAAAAGATTCAGGCTCCAGGTATGTGACTTTATACTTACTGTCTATGATTCTTTTCTACTGTTGGTCTGCCTTGTTTCCTCAGTAGAGAGAATACTGACTTTTTAAAGATTTTAGATTTAGACTTCTATATGGACTTATGCTTTGCTACTATTTTTATGAAAGTTATATAGAATATATTTAAGATGTTCTAAAATTGATCTTTAAGTTGTATACTAGTGCATTAATTTTTCTCAGTGAACAGTTATAAGCAACATTCATTTTTAACACCTATACAGTAAATGCGTTTCCAAAAATATACATGGGCATTCATTTTTAAGTATAAAAATTGAAAATTGGTTTATAATGTTTTTCAGAACAACATTTGTTCACTGATATACAAAATAAAATACAAAATACATACAGTACTTAAAAATCAGTTGTAGAAGTACTTAAATATATTCTATATAAACTTAAGTGAGCCAAGAGCCAAGCCACAACTGGCTACCCAGTGAAGCTAAGCAAGGTTGAGCCTGGTC